AGCAGTAGCAGTAGCAGTAGCAGTAGCAGTAGCAGTAGCAGTAGCAGGATGTTGTTGATGTTCATGATGTTTCTTTCGGTTATTTTATTTTCGTTCTTACAAAACGTAGTGGTAATAGTAGCTATATTATTAGTAAATGTAATGGTGGCTGTATCATTAGTTTATGTAAGGTTGTCGTTCTTCGTATATATCTGTTTGTTTTGCTGGCGAAAATTAAGACTTATTCATGTTCATGTTTTGTAATTACAGCTCACACGCCTGACAACACGTTTCTTGGTTTCGTGGTTGAAGTGGCGATGGATAAAGTCAATCCAGTCAAAACTGAGCCAGGCAAAAAACCAATAGGTTTGGTTTATGGAAAGGACGCCAGATTCTGGATGGTATGCGGAGAGTTGATAATAATATGCACAGAAAACCTTTCTACTTATTGTATAATCCTTGAAACATGCATAATCAACTTCAATCATTTAACTATCAAGAGAGCAGGACACCTGTTCAACATTAGTAGACAACACAAGCATTATGACCACGGGTGACCATATAGCAGCCCACGGTCACCCGCGGGCATAATGCTTGTGTTTTCTTCCCAATTATAATTGCAGTATAGTTGATTGTGTTGTTCTCCGCGACGAAGCGAGGTCTCGATCACAGGGGAGGGGGATAATTTACCATTTTCCCGCCAAATCCGCAGGAATCCCACATTAATTGGTTAAATTTTGGTGCCAAAAGCAAACTTTGTTTTCCTCATATTTTTCTTTTTACAAGTCTCCTTTAGTTTATTATTACTGCCCGATGCACAGGGTAACCGACGTCCTAATCCCAAAATTCCCGATAGAGTTGCCTGGCTAAATGATGAAATGCAAAGTTAGAAATAATATTTATTAGAAAAACAAAAGACTGAAATAAAAATATCACTACGTTTCGACATCATTCGATATCATCATTGTCCAAGTGAAAACCCCTGGAAATGGTACTTCATACTATTCCATGTATCATCCATTAAACATGTTCATTTTTTATTTCATTTTATTTTTTTCAGTTCAAGGAAAAGTACCTGGAAGTGTTATCAAAGTACCTTGACTTGCATGGAACCGTTGCTGGAGCGGTAAATATCTTATTGTCCATATTAGCACTGCATTTTAAATCGTGTGCCGGTTTCTAAATTCTCAGCATCCATCAATTGTCTAAATGGGTGCATGTATGATTTGGTGAATAAGTGATTGGGCTGGTCGGTGGACAGATTTGGTAAGTGCTTGAGTGGATGTCGGGTGGGTGGTGAGTGGGTGAACAAGTGCGCGTTCGGGCTACTCAAATACATGAGTAGGTGGATGCAAGGTGAATAAGTGAACGAGTGAATATTAAATGTAGCGGTAGTGCGTGTGAGCGAAAAGTGTCCCCAATTAGTGCGAAAGCGCTAGAACGACTAGACACTTAAAGAAAAAAAAAGTGATTTAATAGTGAGTGGCCTGGTCGGTGAGTGGGTTTGGTAAGTGTGCAAGTGGGTTTTTTTGGCGTTGAGAGAGTGAATAAGTAAAGGATGTGTGAGTGGCCATGTCGGTGAGTGGGTTTGGTGATAATTTGTGTAAATATAGACATACTTTTGTAAAAATAAACTTGAAACTTGAAACTTGAAACTTGGTTAGTGTCAGTGGGTGAGTAAGTGTTGAGACAGTGAACGAGTAAAAAAATGCGTGAGTTGCATGCTTGGTGTAAATGGTATCAACGAATGAGTGGGCAAATGATGGAGCGACCTATATATAAATATATTTATATATWTTTTTTTCATTATTTTATCTTTTTGTTTTAATAACAGCGAGTGAGAACCTTCGTCCCTTCTTACGTAACCAACCATCGTATAATGAACGGAAGAGATTATCAAGAATTGTTAAGTAAAACCAAGGTTAGCTAATAAATATTTTATTCTTAAAAAAGGTGTCTCTGACTTAAAAGTTCAAAGTGTTTTTTGAAAAGTTAGACAAACAGCTATTCAAGGTGAGGTTTTCGTTTGCTGTTACTGCAATTAATTAAGGTGTTGCCATTTTAACAGGTTTTTTTTTTCATTGTTGTTTTAGATATATATTGGTCTGGGTTTTCCATATGATGGGCCAGCCCCGCTAGAAGCCATCGCTCATGGATCTGTTTTTCTAAACGCAAAAGTAAGAATTAAAATTACTTGTATGTCCCTACTAACTATACATTCTCTGTAAATTTTCTATTTTTTTTACAATTCTGATGTCAATTCTTTTTAACTCGTGGATACGCGAAGCGTAGAAACAAATAATTGCGAGGGGTCCGAATATGCAAATTTTTCTCTCATTCATTATGGCGTTATCAGATCGATATTTAAACGTATATATATTGTCTGATGTCGTCTGCCTAGATACAAGAAGTTTCCTTTGGGATTTTGTACAAATACTATATTCGCGAAAGGTTTATTAATTTTATCTTTTGAAATTGCCAATTTGCGCTCCTCCTATTTCAGTACGTCTGTTTTACATTTAGAACGGATTATTTTTAATGTAGCGTGCTTTTTTTAAATACAGCTTGATCCACCACACAGTAGAGAGAATACAGCCTTCTTTAAAGAGAAGCCCACGTCAAGAAAGGTACATCCTCTCCAGCCTATTAGTAAGTCCATAATAACCATTCAAACTCAAGACTCTTGAATTTGATTGGTTGTTATGGACTTATATTGTTATGATACTTACATTAGGATTCGTATCCATTTGTTCATCGTTCGTTCGTTCGTTCGTTCGTTCGTTCGTTCGTTCATTCTTTCGTTCGATCTATCGTTCGTTCGTTCGATCGATCGTTCGTTCGTTCGATCGTTCGTCCGTTCGTTCGTTCGTTCGTTCATTCGTTCGATCTATCGTTCGTTCG